CTGGCTCGTATACATAGTTACACATGGGCAAAACCACGAAAACACCCATGCAGCCAGCCCGTTCGCGGTTTTCGAACCTCGGACCGAACTGATGCAGAAGGGAGAAACGACATCCGAAAATCTGCATAAAAGAAAAGTTGTGTAGTGTATTTCTCATTTGGAAAGCGCTTTGTAAGGCCGGAGTTTGCTCAGAATATCGTGTTATGTCTCGAATAATAAGAAGAAATACATACCAGCAAGTGTTGGAATGCAATAGAGGTAGGATCGTTGCCTATCGAGAGTGTGGATTATCGTTCCGTGATATCACCCTTCGCACTTGTCGACAACCAACAACTGTCATGCGAATATGGAATCGATGGGTTGCTGAGGGTCACACTGAACAACATGCAGAATCTCAACCCCTCCCATAACCAACACCCGAGACGACAGACATATTGTGAGGTCAGCCCTGCAAAACCGTACAACTATAGCACGGACCATTAGTCAGGAAATAGGCATGTTTGCTGCAGGCCTATACTTCGCGACAAGCTAACTTGAGAACACATACAAGGCTAGAACAACCTTTTCACAGCTTTTCACCCTATTCTTCAAGTTATCCTTATACCCTATTCTTCAAGTTATCCTTCTTTAACTACTCGCAGATATTCAATTCCTCTAATTCGCTACACGTTTGGCAACTTCTTGCCAAATCCAGCATATTTAAATAACAATCTTTTTATGCAGTGAAACTGCAGTTGAAATTGATAGTTCATTGTAGTGTAAAATGTAGGACATGTTATTCCTTGTCTTAATTTATATGAAACATTTCATATTATCTAAATGTGACGTATACGAATTTGATGACATTTAAAACCCGAATCGTTGCTTAAAACTTGAAAAGGAAGAGCTAACAATGTATTGCTTGCAGTTTGAGCCAAATTTTTTTCCCAAGACCATTTGCTTAGTTAAAAATAAAATATACAAATTTTGAAAAATCTGGCAGTAAGTTATTTTCTATTAATTTTTAAGAGTTTATGCAGCTTGTTGCTACCAAAACAGTGAGCAAGGGGGAAATTTTCGATTTTTTTTTTTAAAGACGTTACTTTGATTTTATTTTGCGATTGTTTAGAAAACTCTTGACAATATTTTATAGCAGACACTTAAAAAATTATATCTTGTATTATTTGTCTCCAAAGACACATACAATTCCCAGTCAGGCCCAGATAATCACCCTTGTACAGTACTTTTTATCCTACCTTTCTGATTACTGTTTAAAATCAAAAATAAAATGAATAAAAAGACTAGAAACTGAGATCTTCAGTTTACAGTCTAACAACTAAAGAGTTTACCATTAAAAATTTCAAGGTATTAGAAAAATATTAAAACTTTAATGACAGAGGAGAGAGACTATTCAAACTGATGAGAATGTTGATTTGAAAGGGGGAAGAATGTTATTGTTCTGAGATCTCGTTTAGGGTGAATAAGGCATGTAGGTCCATTCAAGGGAAAGAATGTAAACAAAATAACGTTCGCAAAAAGCAACTGAGAGGTCTTTTGTGTGGGAACAGCACCAGTCTATGCACAATGACAAGGCCATCCAAACTATGTACAATGACCATCATAGGAAATATTTTATTTTTAGTGCACCTAAACGCCGCACCCGCTGAAAATTTAAGTTTTAAACACGTAAACGCTGCGGGGTTTCTTCCGAAAATTACGGTAGTTTTGCCTTGAAGAATGAAACGTCTATGCACGATATGGCGTGAAAAGTGCGTCTTTTGCTTCGTGAAGGGGAATGCATTGCTTTTACATACTCCCAATTTATAAAAAGAAGACTGATTCAGCTCTCTGAGAATCTGTGAATTATATTTTGTCGTGTACAACTGTATAAGCTAGGTAAAAACAATATATTTCCTTCAGGGTACAAAAACAACAAGCATCATATGGAAAAACCTGGCTATTCCTTTCCTTAGATGAATCATCTGCAAATCAAGCGTATTAATGATAGAGTTGCTTAAGCCATGAAACACTGGTAGTTATGCAGCAAGTTCGTTTGTAATGGCTGTAAGCTCTGAACTGCATGTTACATAAAAGAAGTCCTTTACCCTCATAAAGTCCCCACAAATACATCTCTTCCTTTAGACAGAAACCCTTGTTCCTTCTACCATAGTTAACATAATTGATCAGTACTTTCGTATTGGATAGGTTATATTATTTGAATATAGCAAAGCACACAAGAACTATTCGACTAAGGTGCGAGATGCATTCGTGGAGTACTTTCTAAAGGAAACAAGCTCATATATTCACATTACACATGGGAAACTGACCATGAATACAGCCCATTCGCTTGGGTTCAAACGATGTCAAACTAACAGTACTCGGCGATGTAACCACTCGGCTACTGGTGGGACACTTTCATATTATATTTTCTAAGGGATTTGTGAGCTTGTATTTATAATGTTATTTATAACTGTTTACAGTTCTGCCTTTTTTTAAATTTTATTTTTGGCTTTGAAAACAGCCCTTTTATTTTTAATTTGTGGCCCTGAAAAGTGCCTTTTTTTTTAACTGAGGTATTCAGTCCCGCTAAGCTTATAGCAAGTAACAATATCATTATCGTATTTATTACGAAAATGCTCACGTAATATGACAATAGCATTCATTACGGTAATCTTAGCGGTATTGTGTGAAAACACAGGTTTATGAGGTTGAAAATTATACGCATGTCGAAGATAAAGCAGAGACCATAACAACTGCTTTTTTCTCTTCCCAGTCGGTCAATGAATGAATGCTTTAATGTTTTTTCTCATCAAGAGTGGGGTGAGGTCGGGGTTGCTGGAATTTGCAGTTTCGCCAATAATGCCAAAAAAAGGGAATGTCTTCCTGCTGGTCATTGAATGGTTGACATGATTTAGCAAATTTTTAAACAAAAAGCTGAACGCAATGTAATCTATCCTTTCACACATTTTTTCCTTCTGTCTTCCACACATTCTCTTTGTTCATCAGCATTCATATTTCACAGCGTAATTTTTACAATATTACTTCTCGAAATGGTAGAACTACATTCTACTGTGGATGCATACACTTTCTACTATATTCTCAACTTGAGTTGACTTGAAGTATAGTGTCTGCTCATACGGTGCGTCAACGTTTGCTGCCGCGTGGACTATCAACATGACAACCATTACTTTGGCTTCCCTTAAAAATGCAGCATAGAGAGAGATGGCAACTCTGGTGCGCCGAACGAAAATACAGTGTAGTGTTGTACAATGTCATCCTTTCTTGAGGCTCCGAGGAGACCTCACATCGCATGCTTGCATTCTATATCAGCATAGGTGCCCTGCACCTGATGTAATGGTTTGGGCGGCCACTGGGTGCACGATACACACATCTCTAGTTCGGATTGATGGTAATTTGAACTTGAAGCGGTACCTTTCTGGTTTATGTCCAGCAGTTGTGCCCTATCTTCGAGGACTACCAAATGCCATCTTACAACAAGATAATGCAACACCATATGTTGCACGTCGTGTTCTAACCTTCCTCGACACACAGGATATATGATTGCTGCCCTGGCCTGCACGGTCTCCAGATCTGTCACCCATTGAAAACATCTGGTCATGGGTTACTGAGAGACTGGCCTGCCACCCTTCTCCAGCTAATATGGATAATAAAGTGTGGCATAGACTTGAAGCAGCGTGGAATGAGTTGCCCAGTTCGACTTCATGCCTAACCAGGTAAGTGCCGTTTTAGATGCCAAGGATGTCAGCTGTTTCTACTAAGTTCACACCCCTGTAAACCTCTAAACTGCTTACAAATTTAATAGGCATGCCATGCTGCTTACATACACTAAATATCTTTTTTGTATTTCCTTTCCTTCATGGTGTTGCAATTTTAATGGCCAGCAATGTAGTTTGCAAATGGATCAGAGAGAGCTGTCCATTTCTGAAAGTGCTACACGAATTGCCTTCAGATAGTGAATCTGATACAGATCCTGGTACATGTGCAAAACATGCAATGTTGGGTTGTGCTTTCTTAAAGGTGGCATCACTTTCTTTGGAAAGTATCACTATGGGAAAAAGATAGACGAAAGTGTAAATATTATATATCCAAGTTGTTTTTTTAATTATACGCATGTAATCATCATATAACCAAGAGCTTTCGGGGGCTGTAGAGTAGCAGGCCTCTCTGTGGCTCACCCTGGGTAATGCTACGGTATTCAAAATCTAGTGTTTTTTAATCGTAGGCAAAATCTTTTGTTGTGCGCTTCCCAGCAATGCTCGCTTCAGCACTCTTTTTCAAGCTCTATTCATTCAGGAAGCCCGCTTGAGGCGCAGCCCCAGAATCAAAACTGTTAACACTATCTTTACAAAATTTTACTTGCATATACTCCTCTAGGCCTGATTAGACTGCCTAATTCCCCCCCCCCAAATTCCAACTTTAAAAGCTAGCATGGTAGAAAGGGTTAATAGCTATCAACCTTCGTTTAAATTCCTTTGCTATTTTGATGGATTTGATACCGACAGAAATGTGAAGGCAGGTAGAGGGGATCAAAATAAGCAGATTTTGTAATGGAATAAATGTGTTTGCAGAAATGGTAAGCTGACATGGTAGAGTGTGTTGTCAAGTGGCAGGTAAAAATTCACGCAAGGATTAATGATTTTATCCCAGCAAAATGTTTTACCAACCTTTCAGAAATGTCCTACATCATTACTGCAAAATCTGCTCATTTCCATTCTTTCTACTTACATTTTTGCCAGGTATTGAAGCATCTTATATATATGATCTAAATTTACCATATGGATATCTCTCTGTTTACAAAGGGTAAATGAAATTAAAACTTGTAGAGTATGTAAAAATTTTTAGTTTGAATTATTGTTAACCATATTATCCTCTTGCATTGCAAAAGTATTGTTTTCTAGAATGACATTGTAACAAACTACATTTTTTTAAAATTCATTTAAACTGGTGATTAAAATTAACATGTATACTGTATGTATGCTTTTGAAAGAAAAAACTACCAATTCAATAAAAGTATATAATATAAATTAGGTATGTCACTTCTTATTACATTCATTTTTGTACTTTATAAAACGCAATAAATTAGTTTTTACAGTCATTATCAGAGGAAGATGTTCACCAAGAGATTTTCTTTGTTGTTTTATCTGAAAAGAAAATTATAAATTAGTATTATTGCTCAAAATTAAAAAAACATTATTTAATCATCAGTAAATTAAGACTATGTTTTAAAGAAAATAAAACAAAATACTACAATTTAATTATTCTGGAATGTTTAGGCAATTTTTAAGCATGATTAAAATGGCAGAGTGGCAAAAATGGATATATATATATTTTAAATTTGATCCCTTCATAATTGTCATTCCTGTAACAGTAAACCTTTGCTGAACATCATTTTGCATGTACACATTATCTTAATTTCATTTTGCGTAGTGCTAGAATGTCATTCATCATCAATGAAATGCTTGCCAATTTCAACTTTAGCCAGAAAATATCAATAATTTAAAAAGTGTTTCCATTGATTAAAAATAACATTAAAGAAATCGAACGAATTACAAAAGCAACTGGAGCAAACAAAGAAAGCCACAGAGCCAAAGAGGTCAGAGTTAATTGTGAAATGACCAATGAAGACTTGGATGATTTTGTAACATCAACAACAACGAAAGCAGTAATAATGAATGAGGCGATAAATAAGCGAATTATTAATAAAAGCATAAGATGTGTCTGATATTGCAGTGAGAATTAATTCATATGAAATAAGAAGAGGACAACTGAAAAACTTTGCTTTCCTTACCACATAACTTTCAAAAAGTTGCATCAGTCATTGTCCCAAGCAAAAATCTCCAGTTTAAAAAAAAAAAAATTATTTATGTGCATCAAAGTCATAAATAAGTCTTTGATTATCTTATTTTTGGTTATTTTGGCACAGCACAAACTTCTCAAATTACTGATTAGTGGTCTCCAAGAGAATGCAGTCGCATCTATCACTTTGCAATCTGCAGCATGAAGATCATTACAACGTGGGATAATCATCAATTATATCAAAGAAGAAGAGTGGCTTCAAAAGTATAAACAAACAGTGGTGCCTTCCATTGCTTTTGATCAATATAACACTCAGCAAACTATTTCAATCGATTACAAAAGTAAGTTTCCTAGCGTATTTTCCTGTTAAAATCATCATTTGTTCTTGGATTGCTGCAGTATTCAAGTAATTTGTATGTAAAGAGCCATTCCCACTGGGATTCATCCGAGCTAACGGAGTCACTTCCATGTGTCAACTAGCTCTGCTGTGCCTGCAGTTCAGATTTTTCAACCTGCTGCCGTATGGGAAAAAAACTGGTTTTGGAGATGGGTCGACGAAGTCAGTTGTGTTTGTTAGCTCAGATAAACCCTAGTGGGAATGGCTCTTAAGATATCACCAGGTCATATTTATCAATGAATCCTGTTTTTGCTTCAGTTCTGAAAGTACGTTAATACACTTATGATGTCATTACAATAAATGGAAGAATCCCACCAAATTATGGGTCAGGCTGAACATTTGGGGGAACCACCAGTCCCTTTTGATAGCTAATGATAACAGTTAAGTTACCAGATGCAATACACTATTTCAATCAACAAAGATCTGACAAGATATGCATTATAGATATGAAATTATTTGCTCAATATGAACATCAGTTATTTTGCTGGACTTGCCTACACTTCTGCTATTAAGCAAAGTCAATATGGGAAATGCTACAGGTCCTAAAATCTCATGAATGTACTTGGTTAAAAAAGAAGAACTATCATAACTCTGACTCACTGGACCATTATTATACCTAATATTTGAGCTATGTGTTATTTGACATGTTTGGCAGGATTGCCTTGTTCGTCACATTAACACCCCATTATACTTTATATTAAGGTCACTTTATTACATGTTTTGCTGCAACGAATTTTTTTGCAAAAATGATGGCACTGCCTTTAAAAATAAATCTTATTTTCATACAATCCAATGTTTAGATTACACAGCCGCCTGCAGTCATTGGCGACTGAAAAATCGCAATTACGCAAAGAACACAATAAAATTTTGAAGGAAGTAAACAGCCACTCTTCGTCTTTTGAGAACATTTTGCTTCTTTGACAGTAACATAAGTATATTTAATAACAATACACGAGACTCATGTACACATAATTATAGTTTCAAAAAGTGAATATGTACATTTTACTGCTTGGAATGATTTTAAAAATCATCAGTTTGGAGTGTTTCTTGAAATGTTACAACTCAGAAGACACTGCATAAACATGGGTATTAAATGAGTCCACGCTAAAGAAAATAAACAATTTTAATCTACTTCAATTTTCTGATCATTTTTCTCTATTGATGATAATTTACAGGAATGATAAATCATTCATACACATTCCAAACCATTGTAACTTAGTTCATCACAAATTTGAAAATGACTCTGGTTAAAACCATGAGCTTCATTTACATTCCCTTTTTATTGGTTTCAACAATCCCATTCGAATCAATCAAGTGTCCCTTTTCCTCACACAAACGTATGCTTTTCCAACATTTTGAACATTCAAACACAATAAAATATGTTTTCATGCATCAATGCAAACAGCTTTCTCTTGCATCTCCAAAATCATAACAATGCAGTTGTAAATTCACTCATCTCACCTTTTTCATACCATATTAGCATTTAGAACATCATAGAAAATTACAAAAGTCACAACTACTGCATTAAAAAACTCTGTAATATACACTGAAGTGACAAAAGTCATGGAATACCTCCTAATATTTTGTCGGTCCTCCTTTTGCCCAGCGAAGTGCAGCAACTTGACGTGGCATGGACTCAACAAGTCGTTGGAAGTCTCCTGCAGGAATGTTGAGCCATGCTGCCTCTATAGACATCCATAATTGTGAAAGTGTTGACAGTGCAGGGTTTTGGGCACAAACTGACCTCTCGATGATGTCCCATAAATTTTCGATGGGATTCATGTCGGGCGATCTAGGTGGCCAGATCATTCGCTGGAATTGTCCAGAATGTTCTTCTAACCAATCGTGAACAATTGTGGCCCGGTGACATGGCGCATTGTCATCCATAAAAATCCCATCATTGTTTGAGTACGTGAAGTCCATGAATGGCTGTAAGTGATTTCCAAGTAGATAAAGGTATCCATTTCCGTCAATGATCGGTTCAGTTGCACCAGAGCACTGAGTCCATGCCATGTAAAAACAGCCCAGACCATTATGGAACCACCACCATCTTGAACAGTGCCTTGTTGACAACTTGGGTCCATGGCTTCGTGGGGTCTGCGCCACACTCGAACCCTACCATCAGCTCTTACCAACTGAAATCGTGACTCATCTGACCAAGCCACGGTTTTCCATTCGTTTAGGGACCAACCGATATGCTCACGAGCCCACAAGAGTCGCTACAGGCGATGTTGTGCTGTCAGTAAAAGCACTCGAGTCGGTCTTCTGCTGGCATAGCCCAAGGAAGACAAATTTTGCCGCACTGTCCTATCGGACACGTCCCTCGTACGTTCCACATTGATTTCTGCGGTTATTTGACACAGTGTTGCTTGTCTGTGAACACTGACAACTCTACGCAGACGTCGCTGGTCTCGGTCGTTAAGTGCAGGTGTTCGGCCACTGTGCTGTCCATGGTGGGATGTTATGCCTGAAATTAGATACTCTCAGCGCACTCTTGACACTGTGGATCTCGGAATGTTGAATTCCCTAACGATATCCAAAATGGAATGACCCATGCGTCTAGCTCCAACTACCATTCCGCGTTCAAAGTCTGTTAATTCTCATCGTGCGGCCATAATCACGTCAAAGCCTCTCACCTGAATACAACACAAATGAAAGCCCTGCCAAAGCACTTCGCATTTATACATTTTCTACGCAATGCTACTGCCATCTTATATTTGCATTATGCATCCTCATGATTGTCACTTCAGCATGAAAACTGGTGAACTTTCGAACAAATTAAAGCCTTGCTTTAACATACCTTAATTTTAATTTTCTAAAAACTGCCAAATTGTTGCATCACCGCCCTCAAATTTTTTCTTTATTGAGACTCTGGGATCAGGGAAAACCTATATCAATCAATTAAATCAAATCCAAAAATCCTCAAATGTGATGCCTTCAAATTGCCTTAATGCAAACCCATTTTTCAGAGACTTTATCTTCAGGCAGCTCCGACTAAGAATATAAAAACACTGGTGATTTGTGTGTAAGGACAAGCTCAAACAAGTTGAAAAATTGAAGGACAGCATCTTTCTATATACAAAGACAACGGAAGAAGGGATTAGGTAATTACCAGCATAAGGAGCTAAGGTACAGAGGTACGCAGAAATGCACATTCCAGATAGACCATGTTGTCGGTAATAAGAGGTAGTCCTGAGTAAAAAGCGGTGTAAGATCAGTTTTCTGACAAAGAGATGCACGCCATATAGCAGTTAAAATCAACACAATGTGCTGCCTCAGTGAGAAATCGAATAATCAATCTTTAGACGACTGGATGCTTTTACCCGAGGTCGAATCATTGGGAAGTTGGAGGAAGGCCGCAGTGTGACAAGTGTGGCTGCAGAGTTCGGAATTGCTCACAGCATCATTTCATGACTTGAGACAATTTCAAACTACAGGAACACCGGGGGTTTAGTAGTGCTCGTCACGAGGAACCACACCCGCAGATGACCGGTATATTGCCTTACAGGCCAGAAGAAACAGGCGGCAGACAGCGGGAAAATCGCTAGACACACGACACAGGCGACTGGACGACTGATATCGCGTTTTACCGTGACCTGAAGACTGCACGGTGGTGGTCTGTTTGCACGACGCCCTATACGGTGTGTACCTCTAACACCTGCCCATCAGAGAAGGCGATCTCTGTGGTGCCGGGAACACCGGAATTGGAGAGACAATGAATGGGGACGAGTACTCTTTACAGATGAGAGCAGATTCAGTCTGAGTAGCGATTCTCATCGCATACTCATCTGGACAGAGCGGGGAAGCCGCAATCATCCCTCGAACATCATTGAAAGGGACAGGTATGGAGGTGGCGGGTTCTCGTTTGGGGAGGCATCATGCTGGTTTGGGTAGTTACAGAGACCTTCACATCTTCGACGCAGGTTCAGTCAACGGGACACGTTATTGTAATGAGATTCTTCTTCCATATGTGCATCTTTTTAGAGGCGCTATGGGTCCGCAGCTCCTTTTCATGGACGACAATGCACCATGTCATCACACAGTAGCTGCCAAACAGCTCTTAGAGAGTGAGGATATTGAACGTATGGATTGGCCGGCACGATCTCCGGATCTCAATCCCATCGAGCATGTATGGGATTTTCTAGGCAGATGCTTGGCAGCTCGTACCTTACCACCAGTAACGATTCTGGAGCTTCGATTGGTGCTGCAAGACGCATGGGCAGCAATGCCTCAACAACTCATTGACACCCTCATTCTCAGCATGGGCAGACGCTGTGAAACCTGACTAGCAGTCAGGGGAGATCATATCCCCTATTAAAGACCGGATGTTTCTTGCTGGACACCCATCACAGGGATGTTTCGGCCTTCAGTCGCATTGCGCTCCATGCTACATTTTCAATAAAGCTTCTTTTTATCCCTCTGATTTCTCTTTTAGTAAGTGTTGCTTACATTACTCATATCCTTACGTATTGGGGATCTTACGGTATTAAATGTGTTGATTGGGAAAGCTTTTGTACAAAGTTATATTGAAAAAACCGTCTCGTCCTTAATTTTTGCACACCAGTGTATTGCTGGTATTGGCAAGCCTATTGCCCTGAAAATGTCACTCTGGCAGTGGGTTAAATAACATGCCATTCCACATGCAAAAATATACACATATGTATAATAATACGTATAATTTCACCTGCAAACATCCATATATAAATCAGCACAAATGTAAGCTTTGTAGGCTTGTATGGAGCAGGCACGAGCTTGGCATTTTCTGCAGCAATTTATGCCACATCCATAATTCCATAACAAAGGGGCATCTTTACAACCTGACCAGTTCCATTCTATAACTGAGAATATTTTTTTCCCAAAAAGGGGCTATTAATCTTGAAATGAGGTTTTGCGCTGATTCACTATAAATAGCTGTCACTTTTCAAACTGCTGCCACCAGATACCACCCTGTATTATTTTTAAAGAAATTAAATAATGAAGAATCTACATGTATGTCTGTATGCTCCTCACACAGTGAAAAAATGACAGTACCTGCAGCCGTCAAATTCTGAATAACATAGTCCTCCACCCGAATATGTGCACCTAGAAGCCCTAATTTTGAATTTGTTTTATTATCTATTTCATAATTTGTAAAACTTTAATAATTTGAAGGCAAGCAGGGGCAACACTGTTTGAAATAAAACATTTTTATTTGCAGACAGTTGCCATCTGGAAAAATGTATGTTATTTATCTTTCTTTCAATTTTAGCGAACAAACTTGGCTCTATGAAAGCAATGCATTACTGCATGAATTGAACTTTATGTAGCATAAGTGCATAGACCGTGATATTTAATATATAAAGCTAACACACACACGAAGAAATAAAAAATAATAATAAAAAGAAAAAAAAAAAAAAAAAGGTTTAGCTATCTTACTATGAAAACTGAACACATATAACGAAATGTATGCCAACATGTAACACTGCATCCAGAATTCTAAACATATACTGTCCTTAAAAATTTTGTGAATTTGCTATTGAATGGAATGTGGTATAAGTGTGAAGAAAATGCTGATTAATAATACAGATAAAAAGACAAAAAAAAAGGAGCTAATAGGAATGAAGTTCAGGAGCAGACTGCAAGCTCAGTGAGAGTGTGTGGGGGGGAAAGGAGTAATAATCCTTTTTGGGTGACCAGTGAAACCTGAAAAAAAGTAAGGATGGCTGTTTAATGTGCATGTTGTGAATTGGGCTCTTAGTAGTTCCAATTTAACCCTTTCGCCGTCCTCTCCTGTCCGCGAAAATTCCCCCCCCCCAACGGCCGTCTGTTTTCCATAGCGTGTAATGTTATTTTCTCTGTACATCATAACTTTCCATACATGACTTTTGTAGTGGATGAATGTCAATCAATGAACATTAAGTAAACTTATAAGGAAATAAACATAATGGAAAAATAATAATATATCTGCTTATTTCTAACAGCAGGATAATTTGATAACATCTGATCCAGGCGGTCCACTCCTCCCATTTTGTTGCTGTAATCTTTTACAATTATTGGTTTTTTTACAGTTCTTTTCCATGTTCCAACACCAATCATCAAGTTATTATAGGCTGTACTCATCAAACGTATATCCTTCTTATCTTTCCAATTCACAACCTCATTTTTTCTCTTTTTCTGCTGAGTAGACGTTGAAGCCATCTCTCACTGCAGAAGAATGCTTGAGGTGCGTTATGGCCGCCTTGCAGAAGTTTCACTTGAACGCGCTAAACGCGTTACAGACGAAGAAGATGTTAATGAGACAAATACGCATGGGTACAGGCTGATCTTTGAAGACAGTGATTGAAATAGATTAAATTTGCAATGATATTTAATGCAAATGCACCAAGTATAAAAACTAAGATAAAAATAAAAACTTTCATAAATTTTCAAAAGAGAACATTGGCACTCATAAAATAATAGAAAATATATACAGCTTATTATAGATGACAGCCCCCCTCCATGTCTAACAGAATAAGGACATTTTAATGAGTGGATGTTAAAGCAAAAATGTGTATAATATATTCTTAGTTGTAGACATTCTGTACAGGTTATAGTAGAAAGCATCAATTGCCCATTTTATGCATGATATGTAAAAGAAGGTGGACATACATGGGGAGAGCAAATAAGTCTCTGCTGTTTAATAAAATATGGAGCCACCAGTAAATTATGGTTAATACTGTCTGAAGTAAAATGTCATATCGTAAGGCTGGACATTAGCTAACAACATAACCTTGAAACATTAGTGATTTTTCTATCAACATTATACATTTTTTCCATGCCAAAATGTCGAGTTTGAGCTGAATAAGCATCATTTGTAGGAATTGTTGATTTACTTCTTTAATTTGAAGAAATCTGCAGCTGAGGTTCATTGTTTGCTTTGAAGCTGCCTTATGTGAGAGAAATTGTCGTGAGTGGTTTAAAAAGTTTAAGAACAGTTCAAAAGTTATAGAAGGATGTAAGTAAACAGAGACATGGAATTGGAAGCATTATTGGATGAAGATTCATGACAAATGCAAGTCTTACATTTTTACATTGCACTTACATTAGGAGTGACTCAACGAGCAATTTCACATCATTTAAAATCACTGGGAATTATTCAAAAGCAAGGAATCTATGTTCCATATGAATTGAAGCAGAAAACCTTTGAATGCCAGCTTTTTTACACATGAAATGCTGTTTGCCAGGCATAAGCAAAATAGTTTTTTGTATTGCATAGTCATGAGTGATAAAAAATGGATCCATTACGATAAAACGAAGAAGAAATCATGGGGACCACCTGGCCATGCTTCAGTATCAACAGCTAAGCTGAATATTCATGGAAAAAAACCATGTTGTGTATATGGTGGAATCAACTTGGTGCGATGTATTCTGAGTTGCTTAAGCTGAATGAAACCATTACTGGAGCTCTGTACTGAACACAGTTGATGAGAGTGAGACAACCACTCAAAGAAAAATATCCCCACTACTACTCCAGACATGACAAAAGTATTCTCCTGCATAACACTCATTGACATGTTGTGGCACTGGTTAAAACCTACCCGGAAACATTCAAGTGAGAAGTTTTCCTCATCCAGCTGTATTCACCAGATTTCGCTCCTTCTGATTACTACTTGTTTCAATTGATGGCACATATCCTGTATAAGCAGCGCTTCATATCATAATTAAGATACCAAAAATTTGGTAATTTGTGGACAGCCTTGAAAGATGAAATGTTCTTCTGATGTGGTATCCATCATATGTTGCCAAAAAGATAGGAAAAAGAAGTGGCTAGCAATGGACAATACTTTGAATAAACATGCCATTCTTTCACAATAAATGACCAAATTTTGATAAAAATGGCAGACACTTTTTTATACACCTCATATTTTAAAAACTATACCGTTCATGTATTATAGTAATTTAAAACATTAATTACAACATAATGAGTTTTTCTTTTTAATCTATTATTCACCGCATTAATAAATAAATAAAATAGAGTCAACATATTGAAGAAAAGTTGAAAATAATTAGATTATCACCATGTATATATGGAAATATTAAAAAAATTCAGTACTGACCCAAAAATATAACATTTTAGCTATGTATAAGATTTAATAACTGTAAACATATATTTTATAATATAATCTATAAATTAAAGTATTAAATGCAATATAAATATTATAGCAATTATTTATTCTCTACTAACAAATAAAATTACTTACTCTTCCTTTCAAAAATTGAAGCATGTTTGTAAGCTTTTCGACAAGGCAAATACGTTGTGCCAGCCAGTCTAAATGGTCTTCGGCAAAGACATCCAAGAGAATATCTAATGCTTCAGCTACAACCCATATATGTGAATCTTTTGAAGCAACATCAAGAAGAAATGATCCAATCTTCTATTTTGATTGACAAGAAATAAAAGATTTGTTTTATAATGAAAGCAGTAGCATAATAGAAGATGTATATGAATACACTTATTATATGCCCATAATTTTATTCCTTATTGAGAAATATAAATAAACCTTAAAACAAATAAAAATTTAAATGCCTATAAATTCACTATAAACTAAATATGGTCACTTCAGACCTACTTTTATACAGAGTTTAAGTAATCTTTATACACAATTAAAATTAATAATCCATATGAAAATGTATAATTATCTTAATCAAATCTGTAATGTTTCATTTAAAATTTAAAGAAAAATTATGACTAGAAATATTTAGTGCTTGAACATCATAATCCAACATATTACTCTGAAAAAAAAAAAAAAAATATCACATTGGAAAAATATAATTTGAACAATTTGAGATTTGATCAGAGTTGACAACAACTTAGCTCTTCTTAAGAATTTGACACCAAAATTTTCTTCCTGACACTTAGCTTCCACATTTATTTACAATTAAAATAAACTATCTAAATTCAGATAAATTAAAAAGCAGATTTGGCAATTTACTGGTACACATGATAAGAAATCGTGAATCTCGCATTTTACCAAAAGGCTTGGCAGCTATGTTAATCAATGATAAACAATTTTTTTGGGGGGGGATAGAGGATGTTTTAGATAATCATTTAACTTATTGAATATAGCTAATATTTGAATATTTCTTTAAGAATAAGAACAAAACATTCAAAAGTGTATGCTCATGAACAAACCGAAATCCTTGGAAGTGTAGCTGGTCCTTGATCAGCAAACATTCAGCAGATACCTACCTACCTTGAAATATGGAAAACCAGTAGATTTTCAAGCTGCATGACAATGTAAAGAAGATTGACTTCAAGTCACTTTTTAAAAAGCGCAAGTAGTAGAATAACTCGATTTCACACTAAGTGAATTTAAGATCATACAGCATATATCTATCTATATATATACAGTACGAATTCCAAGACCCAAACTTGTTAGGACTTCGACATTTTTTCTGGATTTGGGATTTTTCGAGATATTAGATCATCAGTTTAAATCTAATATCCTAGCATGCAGAAATTATAAAATTAAAAATATGAAATCATGATTTATGAAATAATGAAACATTTATGATCTAAAGCAGGTTCCCAACTCTACGCCGCGGGCACCAGGACACCCACCGATTGCTTAACGTGTGTCTGCCACTGTGCAATCAACATAAAATGTTTTAGTTTTCAATAAAATTCTATGCAACAGATCTCCTTTCTATGTGCATGCATTATTAACTCTATCCAACTACAAATTCATCTTGAAAAGGTAAATGTTTCCCGCCGTCCAACAGATATTCTAGAATGTGCCCTTAGGGACAAAAAGGTTGGGGACCTATGATCTAAAGGGTATCAAAATTTACAAAAAAAGAAGCTTAATCTTCATTTGTTTACTTTATTAAACATTTCCTTCAATGTAAGTTGTTTAAGTTGCTACGTTTTTTGTGCTAATACTTTCTCTTCAATTCTATAGACAGACATCATTTTTTGGGTACTTTTCCGTTTGACTGGCACAATTTTCCATTCTGCCGGCGCAAACAATAAAGGCCACCGAAAATGGTACAACCGATGCCAAACCAAATATCCTCGCTGATAACCTTTTACACCACTTTCAAAACAAATTGCTGCTATTTCTTTTCAGATTGATCGTTTCTTTCAATATTGGCATACAGTTACATAAAATTTTTTTAATTATAATATTGAAATAATTCTTGCATTTAAACTCAAATTCTATACTAAGATTTAACTTGAAATTAATGTAGATAATTACTGAGAGAATTCGATTCTTGTAGCGTAGTTTACATGAGATGAGATCATTTGGGATCACGTGATATGAACCAGTGAATCATGATGTTGTACCATGAAAGCAAAAGTAAATTTTTAAATTGTCTTTTTACAATTATGTCAAAAATGGATGAAAAACCAATGAAAATTTGGGATTTGCCCAGGACAGAGGAAGAATCTGTCAAGATTCTTTCAAGCGAAAGGTGTTTGCCTAACATTACTATTTGTGACAATAATCATGAAATTTAATTATATTTCGGAGATGAAATTCAATGGCGCTGCAACCTTTCAACTTGCCGCAGTAAAAGAAGTATACGGAAAGGTTTGAATAATCGAGATTGAGTTTCTTGAAGTGTTTAAGATTTATTTATGGTTGGAGTGAAGAATTAACTTCAGTTAAATGGTGCGAAAAGCATTTGGAAATCAATCACGGAACATCTGTAAATTGGAATAACTACATGCGAGAGGTTTGTGTGGATTCTTTACTTAAATGTCAACAATGCAAAATAGGATGACCTGGTATGATTGTTGAAGTGGATGAAAGTATGTTCACAAAGTGCAAAAACAACGCGGGACGGATTTTACCACAATAGTGGCTCTTTGGTGGAGTTTGTCGTGAAACAAACGAATGTTTCTTTGTGAAGGTGCCAAACCAATCCATGACTATTATATTAGAGGCAATAAAGGAAAATATCGAAAAAGAAACTACAGTATATTCCGATTCATGGAAATCATATTGCACTTAAAAACTGGAAGAGGAAAGTTTTGAACACTTGAGTGAACAACAAGTGAACCATAAATACAATTTTGTAGATCCGGAAACTGGAACGAAGCAAAAAAATAGAAAGACTATGAGGTAGCGCTAAATGGCGGAATAAGAAACACAGAGGAATGGCATGTCATCATCTGGAAAGTTACCTCGCCAAATTTATGTGGCGAAAGGACACAAAAGACCCATTTGAAAAAGTTTTAAACAATATTAAAATATTTATGCTTCCAAAATGAAAAAATTCTTAGAACTAACATTTGTTAACATTATGTGTATACTGTGTGTTGTCACCAATAAAGTTCGCTTGGCAAGATTTGTGATGGAGAAACGGAAATGTCCAGGTTTGCACCAGCGAAACAGAAAAGTATCATTTTTTGTTTAGTTGGAAAGTTCCATAGTTCCTGTAATTGCTGTGTTGAGAATTCTGGCAAACTTGTCAATTGAAATTCTTTTCGTTTTCTATAACCTCTCAGTCACTTTCTTCACTATAGGTAGCGGTATTTTCTGGATCTATACCATACTAAAAATTTTGCCATCCATTGATGGTTGGGGCACTGTCATCGCAATGAAAAATTTATGTTAACATAATCTTCATTTATTATCGTTTCTCCACATTTCTTTACAAAATCCATTAATTGGAAATTTTTACCTTCAAATTTGTGGCTATCATCTCCATCGTCCTCACCATGAAATATGGTAGCTGGCCATAAATTATGCCAAGCATTTTTTAAAGTATGTGAAGACACATTCTCCCATGATCTTGTGATTTTCCACACAGCAGATTTTATGCTAAAATATTTCAAAAATTCTTAAGTAGTCTTGCCACTATTCAAGAAATTTAACATGGATTTTAAAAATGCTCAGTTATTATTGTATTTAAGTGTGCACGCTATTTCCATATCTATAGGCTGAATGATAGACATCTAATTTAGAGGATAAAATAATATGAATACATTATCTTTCATTAAAACTTTAAGTGAAGTATGAGCTAGCTTAACAGTTGTCTACAATCAGGACAATATCTGTGTCATCAAGGTAAACCAACTGAATTCAAAATGCTGCAGAGCCTCAGGTATGAAATAATTTTCAAACCAATCATTCATTAACACTTGTGTCATCCACACAACTTTTAGTTGTACGATATATAATGGGGAACATTTTTACTCCTTTAAAAACTTAAGGTCGTGTACTTTTTTCCAATTATGAAAAGTTTACACTTGTGCATTCCTGCAGCATTAGCACATGCTAAAATTGTTAGTCTTGCTTTGGAATTTTTGACACCAGTTGAAGCCTTTTCTGTCAAGGTTGCCATGGTATTTCGCTGCACATATTGCCAGAAAATACCAGCTTCATCAGCATTGTAAATTTGTTCTAGAGATAATGTTTCACAATAATGAAAAAAAATTAGTTCAATGAATTAATTTGGAAATAGTTCAGCAACTTCAGTATCAGCTGGAGCTTCACCTGAGACTTTTACTGGCCTTATAGCATGGCATTTTTTATATTTGGTTAACCAACCTGCTGAATATGTGCACTCAGTTCTTAAGTTAATTTTTTCATGAAATATTTTGTCTTGAGCCATTAGCATTGGACCCGCCAATGGCATACCCTGGCTGGGAGGCTGTCTGAGCCATTCAATCATCACTTTGTCATGATTGTCACTTTTAATATAATGAATAATTTTTCTGTGACTCAGTGGGATGTTGAAAAGTTCCTTTTTCTTCTTATGTCATATACAGTTGACTTTCCAATGCCATGCTCCTCGCATAACTTTGAGACAGATATACCTTTATCCATTTTTCGGCAGCAATTCCACTTTCTGTTTAATGGACATCAATACATGCTTTTGCTTTGTAGATCCTGTTGCAGCTCCAGAATTAGAAACTCTTTTTAAGATAATCGAAAGGTCAAACTTTAATTTTCAAAACATTGTAATAACAATAACAGTCTGCAAAAAATAATAGGCTGGATGAAATCAGAAAGTTAAGAAACCATGTAATCTGCTATATTTTAACTAAATTATGTATAGCGTGATATGTATCATGAGATTGGCCACGAAAGACAAACTGTTCTGCTAAATTTTGTCTTGCTTCTATCACGCACCGAAGCAATTAAGCCTGAACTGTATTAGTTATTTATTATACTTACGTCTATTTCTTTCACAAACTTAAGGCTTATCTGAGTCCTGAATAAATAAATTCTGTGGCTATCAATTAAGGCTTATCAAGGGCCGGCGCTAGATATCTTACTGTCTGATGCAGTCTCTTCGGGTCCTAAATTCTGCTACCAAATGCCTCCCTAAGTTCTAATTTTTGCAGCCATTAAATTCTAGGTCCCAGTTCTTTCCCTAAACTCTAAAAAATTTGCCATTAATTTATTTTGTTGTTTGGTGC